CACACACACACACACACACATACACACACACACACAGAGAGTAGTGGTGCCCGCAGAGTCTGCATGAACTGCCTGAGTGTAGAGATTGAAGACCATGCCTGCCTCTTCCTAAGCATTTCTGTCTCTGGTACAGACAGTATTAGAAAAAAAAAAAAACACATTCATTCCAATTTCTTCCCTAGATATTGTCCCAACTTCACCATATGAAATAGAGTATATGACATGTCCTACTACCAACTCTATGAAACTTAAGGAAGATACAACTCTGCCACATATATGTAATATGGAAATCACAGCAATTAAAACAACTGTCCATTGTTAATTTATCAGCTATTTTGAGATTTCTCATTTGTTACTTTTTGTTTGTGCCTAGCTGCTCTGAGTGAAAGTTACATTTCCAAGAGAAAATCATAGCACAAATAAAAATTTATAAAGGGAAACTTCTGTCAGAAATTCACTCTCATTGGTTATCACGTATCATATACTCTTCTTGTCACGTATCATATACTCTTTCTATCTATTGGTTATCCATTGCCATAATAGTACCTGTAACATGACCACAGTTCACGGAGGCACATAATAAGCATTTGCAGCTTGTGTGTCCAGGTCCCGCGGGCTGACTACATCGCTGTGGTGCTGGTGGCTGGGCTTCCTTACATGTGTGGAATTGGCTTGTTGTATGCTTATCAGTCTGGCTGGGTCTCGGGAAAATTGGCTTGGTTCCACACACCTGTTATTCTGTAGAAGTGAAGCTAGGCACACCTTTATGGAGATGGTACAGAAGGCAAAAGGACAAATTGAAACCTGAGGTTTTTAAAAATCTAGGCTCAGAATTGCACATTATGACACACTTTATTGCCCAATTCAGGTCAGCTATCTGAGCCATAGTAAGAGAGGCTGCTACAAATAAATGACAAAGAGCAGAGATTTAGGGAAGGGTAAGAACTTGAGAACTGTTTGATGGCTAGCCTTTGGGAAAGATGCCATGATTTAGTTTTAACAATTAAGTGCCTAGGTTCTTCTCAGAAAATATAGAATTTTAAAGGAGGATTTGAGAACCTTCTCTGTAAGAATATTGCTTGCTACCATGCTACAGGCAGTAATGGGATACAGCCTTTATCTCAGATCCGAGCTAGATCTTAAGCTAAATTTTTAAGCCATTCGCCCATTTGATGGTGAACTGAAGATGTTGTTGCAATATTATTTAATACTTGTGTTGTATGACTCCCAGGACTAGAAAGGAAAGTAGCCTTGCAGGAGTTTTGATGGGAAGAAGGTACAGAGCTCCAGCGTGGTTTTTCTACTGAGTGATCCAGCCCTTGACACATGATGACTCATGCCTCATTTATTGCCTAAAGTGAGTCAGATGGCTGTACCTAGTTAGAATGAGAGGGTATTACAAACTTGAGTGGCAAAAAAGAATACAGGGAAAGATGAAGAAAGGGGACCCTTTCCCCCTCCTGCCATTTTGTTCCCACTGGAATACTCTGACCTTTTAGGTTTAACCACCTTCTTTGGGTCTTCATACCTAACATAAAGTCTTCTCTTGGTTTTGGGATTAGGATTGGACCCAGAGCCTTTCCATTGAACTACATCCCCAGTCATTTTTTATTTCTTAATTAGACTTAGTCTCTGTAAATCATGAAGCTTCCCAGGGTAGGTTCAAACTTGGGATCCTCCTGTATCAGCTTCCCAGAGTGCTGAGATTAACAGGCATGTGCCACTATGACAGGTCATTGAAGAGTTTTATTAATATTGTCTAATCACAGGGTCTCAGTTCTTTAGAGGTCATTTTTTATTTTATTTTTTGTCTTTTAGAGACAGGGTCTCACTATGCAGTTCAGGCTGGTCTTGAACTCACTTTGAAGTCCAGGCTGGCCTTGAACTCCCAACGATCCTCCTGCCTCATCCTCCCAAGTACTGAGATTATAGGCCTGCGCCACCACACCTGGCTAGAGGTTAGGTTTTTAATTAACAAACTGATCCAGATAAGTAGTATACCTGTATACATTTCTAATTTTGCAGTTTATACATAAAAGATTCTGTGGGGATTTTTTTCCCTCAAAGTCAAACATACTTATCACCTGTGGGTCTTGTTACAATGCAAACTCTGACTTGGTAGATTGTTAGAGAGAGTCCTGAGATTGTATATTTCTGTGAAGGTCCCAGGTGACAAGACCCTGCTGTACCATCACGGGTAAAACTTGGAGGAGCAAGACTGAAGTTCACCCAAAAACCTTTTGAATTTGCTAATGGTAATAAGTAGAAAGATTTAAAGGCAGAAAGCTCATTTTAAGGTTGAAAGGCATAAAATAGCTGTTCATTACAAATGGAAGAAAGGTTTTCTTAGCAAAACTATTATGCTCCCTTTTAAATGACATGTAGCCAAGTGGGAAAAGCATGTAGCAGAGATTCCCAGGAATTCTGCTCTGTGGTGAGGGAAGAGGTGGAGAAAAGGGATGTGGGGTGAGCCAAAGCTGCCAAGGCTGACGGTCAGTGCTGCTATTTTTCACCTGTGTCATGTGGGTCTGACTTGTGTAAGGAAGAGTGCTCTGCTGAATTTCCACAGTTGGAAGGAAGAAGGACTGGGATTGGCACCCCAGTGGTTTATGGGAATGAAGTGCGATGCACCATTAGGCCCACTGGGGCTCCCCTGAGAAGGGCCTTGGCACCGTGTAGGAGTAACGAACTGTGGAACATATTGAGCCAGGACATTGGGGATTGAAAAACAACCATGACATTCTCTCCAGACTGAGAGCTAAGTCTCCACAGGCAAAGAAGAGCTTAAACCCAGCCAGTCAGGAGTGGGGGGAGAGTGATAACGGAGACAGAGTGGTGTTTAGATTCATACTCACTCATTTTGAATTTTTTCTCTACCACTCACCAGCTGTGTGGCCTTAGGCAAGTTATTTAACTTTGATTTGTCTCATTTATTGCCATTTATGATAGGAAGGTAATACCTCCAAAATTCCATTAAGTTTTAAATAATTATGGTATATGCATGGGGTGAGTTCCACACATGCCATGATTTACGGATGCACTCTTAAAAGCTTGTATAAAGTGAGAAATCACCCAGGAAGATACATATGAATAATAGTAGTTGGCAAATGGGATTTAATATTCTTTTGTTAGGGCCTGTATTTGCAACCATTGCATTTCACTTTCCACATCATTCTCAGTGTTAACAATTCACTTTGATTTGGAGCACTTGTTTTACAAGTTATGATGATTTTGTTTGAAAAGTTATACAAAAAAATAAATAAATAAAAAGGGCCAGCCAAATAGCTCAGCAGATTAAAGCGCCTGCAAGCAGGTGCAGGGGCCAGGGGTTGGATCCCTGTGCCTGCCATGCTGCCCGCCCCCGCCCCCGCCGGGATGCACTGAGACAGCAATGGAGACTGGGCGTGGTGGCAAGCCTGTAATCCCAGCACTTGGGAGGCTGTAAACAGGAGAAACACTATAAGTCTGATCTAGTAGTGAGACCCTGTAGACCCTTCCCCCACCAAAAAAAAAAAAAAAAGAAAAGTTAAAAAGTAACCTGGGCACATAGTAGAGATGGGAGTAGAAGCCAGACATGGATATGGATTTGAGCTTTACTTTCAATTGAGTGCCATGGCTCAGGGCCAGTTACTTAAGTATTGAAATTATTGTTTTTTCTTATTCAAAAAAGAATGGGAATAAAGGGTTTATCACATACATTCAAAAATCAAATGAAATACTTAAAGATTGCTGACATTATCTTGTTCACAGATAATGAAGCAACAACTACTGTTATGCTGAACACTATCATTATGATGGTGTCTTGAAGTTATAATTTAGAGGGAATACTAATTTCCCTATCCAATTGTAGAACTTAAACAGATCATGCATTAATATATTTGTAGAAGTATGTATAAAATAGAAAAATAGACAGCATTTTTCTCCTGTGTTTTAACAACAGCAGCATCTTCAGACCTTCAACTGTGTTCCCTTTTCTTGAACATCCAGTGGGGGAAATACAGAGACAGTAATATCTGTTATGGTGATTTGGGAGAACACCCAACGCTATGTCTTCCTGCCATTACTAAGTCCTTAGTGAAGCACTGTGGGGACTCATTCACATCCACCCAGGGACACAGCAGGACAGGATAAACATCAGTACATTCCTGCTTGCTGCTGACTAGTACATTGGGAGGAAATGGAAAACCCATCTGAGATGTGCCAAAACACGGCTTAAATCAGCTCCTGTACCCTAAATAGCTACACTCTTTTTATCAATGACATCATCCAAAACAGTCAACAGCAGTTTGTTCAGACATCACTGGTGATCTCATCTGGGGCTAGGCAGTTATATAGTAAATAGTCTGAAACATTTTTAGATCCAAACATCTATTTCAGAATGGTCCATCAGAAGAAACATGAGTTTTCTTTCTGTGTATTTGAGAAATAGATTTCCATTAAAAATATCAAACTACCCAAAAGCTGACTTGTGAGGTTTGGAGAGAGGGGCCACCTGTATGTAAGTAACACAAATGAAGGCCGCCACTATTGTAACTTAGCTGCATTTACAACCCTTGACTTTTTTCTCTAGACTTCAAGGAGTAAGTGGGGTGTGTTCTTAGTTCTTAGTCCATGCAGATGTCATTAGCAAAGCATCTTCCAACCTAGGCCTTGGTAATCGCATTTATAAAATTGATGGTTGTATTTTAAAGGCTTTTGAAGGCTCACCTTACATAACCTAAGCCTTTTGAGCTATAACATTGCGTAAGCCATAGCCAGCTTCTCTGACTCAGATCCTGGCTTTCCCAGATCATGGTTGTGTGATCTTGAGCAGTTTACTAACCTCTCAGTACCTTTTAGTGCAGATGATAGCACCTACCTCAGAAGGGTGTTAAGAAAATTAAATTTGTATGAAGCATTTAGAATGGTGTTTGTCCATAGTAAACATGGTTAAAATCTGAGTATTGATTTTATGATACAATCAAGCCACAGGACATGGTATAATGAATGCAGGCCTGGCCCCTGTGGCACCAGGAAGCCCAGAGTAGAACTTGACGATTAGATCCTTCATTATTGCTCAGCAATGGACATCAGCATGGAGATGTGAATGCAGGAGTGACCACTGGAGAGCATTGGAACGCTGGTGTGGTGGTGCCCCTGAGAAAAGGGGGGAGCTTAAAATGTACAATGTCTGAAATAATAAAAAGAGTCACAGGGGGGCACACTATAGTTGAGCCTACTGGGGTTCCTTTTCATAATACAATGCTGCGTGGGAAGTCTCACAGTCAACTAAACAATCATTATACAAAAGGGCAGAAAATATAAACAAACCACACAGAAAAGAACCACTATATGAACTGGCCAGAAAACATTCACACAGGAGCCCAGCAGCCTGTTGCTGCTGGATAAGAATTTCACACAGTAGGATGACCAAATGCAGCACCTTGTCAGTGTGAGAAGGAGCTCTGCAATGCTACGCCCACACTCGCTGTGTCCCTGTGAACCTTACCTGTACCACTGATCTATTTTGGTGCCACCAAGCAGGCTACTAGGCACACCCATATGCCAAATGTCAGCACAACAGTGTTGTTACTTACTTGCATTTGGAAAGAATACTCTAGGCATTATGCGGTTAGCATCTATGATTTAACAGCCAAATAGTACTTTATGGTAGAATTTATTTCTTCTGAACTTCAGATGAGGAAGTTGAGATTTTCAGACAAAGGTCTAGAGTAGGTTTGAACCTAGATTTGTCTGGTTTCAGGGCTTGTGTGCTGTCTGATCTGTCCCATGTTCTCCCTAGGTTTGCCCAAGTTGTCACCTGCCCCAAAGATGTTGGCATAGTTGGCCATACAGGGCAGACCTGGCAGAGCGCCATGCCCAAGTTAGCAGGCATAGCTCACAGCACAGGAAAGCAAGCAGGCAGACCTAAAGCTTGAGGCCTTCTGGGTGTGGTGCAGAAGCATCTCTTGCCCTCACAGGGCATCTATAGAAGCCAGAGACACACACAGCACTTGATCAGTCAACCTGAAGCTCCAATCTGAAAGCCACAGATGAACTGAGAATGAGAGCATAAGAAGCCCAGATTCATAGCGAGTTCTCAGCGAGAAACTTTCTGACACCCATGGTTTAGTCCTTGAGCTGAAACTAGGAGTTTATTTATACCAGGTATACAAGGTATTTTGCTATTGATTTTTAATTTATGTATGTTTTGATCACATAATTTGAAGTACATGGAGATGTGCTATGTGGCTTAAAAAGAGGCAATATGATTGAAGATAATCTATATTTAGATAACTAGCATAGATTTTATAAACATTTAACAGAACACTAATAGTATTGCTCAAATCTTCTATATTTTGCCTTCATATTTTCAGTCTACACAGACTTGTAGATTTGTCTTTTTCTTCCTTTAACTGTTAGGTTTTGTCTCAGGTGCTTTGAGGCCCTAATGTTGGGCACAGGTGCAAGTCCAGGAACATCATAGCTTCCTAAACAAGACATAAATAAAGTCTTCAGACAAGATTTTATTAGATGGTGGATGGTTCCTTTTTATTGCCATATAAAAACCATTGTTATCCGTAGACATTTTGACTTCAGAATTTTTTCTGATATAAATGTTGCTAAACTAGTTTTGATTAGTATTAGTTTGACACATATTTTCTATACCTTCATTCTCAATCTGGTTTGTCATTATGTTTAATGGGTAGTTTATAAATGAGCACAGGGTTGTATATATTTTAATTTATTCTGAGATACTCTATCTTTAACATATATCTGGTATATCACCTGTTATCATCCTTTGACTTTTCCACATCATGATTTTTCTGTGGCCTTTTTTGTTGTCATTTTAGTGTTTATTTCCATTCTATATCTTTCTCTATGTTTAGGAAAGTTGTGTATTATGATTCTCTTCTTTTAGTGATATAGTTTTAGTATTAAATA